CTTCTTCTGTTTATGCACAGGTCGTCTCATCTTTGATAACTTAAAGAAGTCCATCGCTTACACCTTGACCAGCAACATCCCAGAGATCTCCCCCTTCCTCGTGTTCATTATCGCTAGCGTTCCTCTTCCTCTGGGAACCGTCACCATTCTCTGCATCGACCTGGGAACTGACATGGTGAGTACTGCAAGAAGAAAGGATTCCTATACTGGAGCTCATTTGTTTTCTGCTATTTAAAATCTGCAAGGTTATGCTTTTCTATGTTTATATCTTTCTTTTCAGTGTGACTTTATTGCAATTTTATAGCTCTAATATATAATTACAACTAACATAGAGTTTTATATTCATCTCTTTTTACTAAATTATCCTATAATTGTTGTTAATTTTAGGAGAGCCTCATTAAAAGGGTGCTAATTGTAAGAATGTTGCATAGCTGCAGGCAATGTAAAGGTGACATTAGGGGAAATTGCGTTACTTGGTGTCAGATATGATGGCCTCGAGGTAAAAAAAGAGCAACTGTTTGGTTTAATTTGCTCTTTCTATCAGTGAGGGAAATTTGCTTTTTGGCTTTGCGCCGACGTCCATTTGTTGGAGCAGAACAAAGGCCGAGTGACACTCACATGCAGATTTACATTTCACAGGCCTGCCATTTCCAGATGCCAGTCTCTGCTTTTGTATTTCCAGTTGCAACAAAGAGAGTTGCTGGCATGCTGCTTGCCTGAGGGGCGTAATCCATCATTACAGAAAGAAAGGAATCGCAGAATAAAATATTCAGACAAACTTATGTGCTCATTATATTAATTCTTACATTTTGTCAGCTATCAAAACAAACGTAGGCAGCAGAAAATGGTACATCCTACTAACCTGAAGATAAAAGTCAGAACGTAGATATTTTTGAATTTCTGCATTTTGGACAAAAAAAGCATTTCAAGTCTGACAAATTATAGTGCCTTAGAAAAGTTACTGATAGTTATTGTTTTTACATTTTCAGATATTACGAATATAAAATTTATGTTTCCATCCATCCATCCATCCATCCATCCATCCATCCATCCATCCATCCATCCATCCNTGACAGATAGATTTCTGCCATTCATTTTTCTGTCCTTTCTAAGCTGATTTAAGTTTTAATCCTTAGCCAAATCTAGCACATGTAAGGAAAAAAAAACAGGTAAAAGTGTTTTCATTTACATCAGATTCATTATATTTTCTGGAGAGTGAACTCCACTAGACTAAATGCTGAAATTGATTGAGAAGGCCCCTCAGAAAAATGTGTGTTTAAAGGTGTGCAGATCTGGTTATGTAACCAGAATGTTATACTTTTTGGTTTAGTTTTCTTTTAAACATCTATGATTTTACAGGATATATGCAACTCAGTACATAGAGCTCAATCAGACCTGAACCTTCAGAGGCACATAAAACACAGTAACCAAGTCAAAATCTATTACCTAAAGAAAAGTTCCAGGACTTAAAAACTAATGTCTCAGCAGGCTCCAGAAAAACTAATTTACATCCATCCGTTTTCCGTAAAGCTTATCCCAAGTGGGGTGGTGATCGGTGCTGGTGCCTATCTCCAGCTGTCTACGGTCGAGAGGCAGGCTACACCTTGGACAGGTTGCTAGTCCATCGCAGGGCAACACAGAGACAAACAACCATTCACACACTCACATTAAAAACCCAACACCTAAAAACACGACTCTTTGGGTAAATGGCTTCTCTAAAAATAAGTTTATTTAGGTAGAATGATTACTCTAATGGTGTCTTCACAGATCTGCATAAAAACAGATCAGATGACTGCAGCTGATCCAGAGTGCTGCAGCCCGCATACTGAAAAAACTATCACCCCATTTCTTAGTCTGACTTACAATTTCTTACAATGGGTTCCCATTTCTCAGAGATCAGACTTTAAAATTTGTTAGTATAGAAATAACTGAATGGCTTTGCTAAAAAAAAAATAAAAATAAAAATCCAATACAGAATTGCTGTTAGTATCTCATCATCCCAGGAACCCTAGGTTTGTCCTGCTCAGGTCTGCCCTGCATACCTAGAACTAGAACCAAACATGACAAAGCAGTTCTTAGTCCAATAATCTGGATCAATTTTCTTCTTCTGTTTATGCACAGG